GGATGAAGAAGATGGCATAGGACAAAGGGCCCGCTACATGCTGATGCCTGCGACTGAGCCCCATCTTATTGAAGTATAGCCTCACCATCACTAGTAAGGTGCACAAGTAGGAGAGAGGGAGCTCAGGAAAGCGATAGTGGGTATGGGAGGAAGGGAGGGGGACACTGACATTTGGGTCCTATATGTTGGGTCCACATCAACATGCTATGTTCGTGCATGGAACTGGCTAGAGTATGTTTGGACCAATGTTGGTGCCAGGAACAATTTAAGGGACCTAGATGACATCGCCTTATAAGTGTAGGACCCAAGTATCTAAATTCGATAATTGGTGACATGATGACACCGCCTTACAAGTTCGAAGACTTAAAATTAAGAAAAAAAATCAAAAGTTGGGGAGTGAGATGACATCCTCGTGCAAGTTTAAGGAGAACTCATGAATTTTACTCCGAAATCTATGATAGAAAGCATGCTTTCGTCATAGGCGATAAATTAAAGGAATTTTCACCATGCAAGAGTCGTAGATTTTGTAACATGATTTTTTTTTGGTTTAAGGACATATACAGATGTGCTAATGATGGATTAATTAGGCTTAATAAATTCATCTCATCACAGATTACTGACGGATTCTGTAATTTGTGCGACACTCCTATGTGACACCCAATATGACACCCCAAAACTTTACACCCTGTATTTAGACAAGGCCTAAGTTGTTGTTGAGCTGAGTAGTGAGTAGTGAGTACTGAGTTCGAGTCCTTGCGTTGCTGGTTGGTAGAGACGGGTTAGTGGAAAAGAAAACTACTGTAATTAATATATATATAACGAAATTTGAAGCCACCTGCAGTGTGCATTAAATCTGTGGATCGATCGACTCCAATCCAAGTCTAAAAAAGAGCTCAACATGCCTGGCCCTGCACGCAGTTCGACCGATCGGTAGTCGGAGTCAACCCTAATCTAGATCCATCCATCACCGACCACGGTGACCGCCACGCGATTCGAATCCATCGACCACCTGCATACAGCTCAGCCCACGACCGAGAGCGGGCGCGATCGACGCGCTGCGCGCTGCTCGTCAACACATGCATGCAGCCGATCGACTTGCATTGCATGTGGGCCCCTGCATATGCACCGTCAAAGGCAGCGTATATGAAGTTTTATAAACTTAAACTATTCTTCAGCGTATACAATTTCTTCTTTTCTGCTTCCTGAGGTTGCTGACGGAGTGATGCATCTGAAGACCGAGACATCCGCGCCAAACTTGCTTGACATGCATGGGAGATGGGACGGTCGTCGCCGCTGTTGCTGACTCTCGACGGCGTATCATCTTACCGTATGACTTGGATGTCACAAGGGAATACTAAATGCAATTGACTGAACATATTCAAACAAAGTGTTAATTACTATTTGGTTATATATATATACGCTGATAACTTGTTCTAGAGTTTAGTTTATGGAGTGTCATTTGTGGGTTTTGAACTGCAGGATCTGGCAACAATCTGCACCAGTGTTGTCTGCCTCTATCATTAACACAGAGGCGACGGCGGCATTGTCTATCTCTACCATTTCGTCGGTGTTAATCACGGAATACAGTTAATTAGGAAAAATACTAGGCACAAACTATCATGGGCCAATGCTGAGGCTCGCCCCTGAGCCCGTTGATGAGTCCACTGCCGAGAGTCGATCATGCATATCAGATCTTCTCCACGGCTCCACTAACCTCCTCTGCCACCCTTCGGGCCTCCTCATTGTCGGATCGAGCAGCCAATAGCGGGGATTTGCCAGATCCGCACGATGCCGGAGGAGGACGGGGTTGTGCCACGCTGGAGGGCTGGTGGTGTAGGGGGAGGCGCTGTCACCGGGGGTGTGCGCTGCTGGGCCGAGGACCGAGCGTGCCACCACTGTGGAGAGAGAGAGAGAGAGAGAGTCACCGGGTTAAAGAGAGATGGTGAGACAGAAGAGGCGTAGTGTGGATAGAGTAATCCATGAACAACATGTGGTAAAATAACTGATGGACTATTTGCTGCTAAGCGGAGAGATCATATGTATATGGCACGTGACGTATATATATGCTAAAAAAACAACACAGAAACTAACGAACGCTAGCAGCCTGTTCGTTTGGCTGTGGCTTGTCATAAACGATCGTAAATTTCCAGTCGGAATAGTATTTTTCTCTCATACAAACCAGCCAGCAGTACTTCTTCACGAACCAGTAACGAAACGAACCAGCCAACCAAACAGGCTGTAGGTCGATTGCGTTGAAATGTGAGGTGGGTCAATTGCCTACCAGATGTGGGCCCCTCGAAAAAGATGTAACTGTTAGTACGTTGCTCCTTTCCCCAAAACACTGTCCACAAAATAATATCATCAAGGATATATTGGCACTCTTTGTGCATATTAAGGGCTTGTTTGAATACACATGGTTAGTTACCAGTTAAACATTAGACTTGGCTGAAAAATTAGTCCATCTATTAACCCTTCTCTTTAAACATACTAGAGCTAATTTTAAGCGAAAATTAACTAGCTAACAATTAGCTCATGGTACCCAATATGCCCTAAGTTACCACGTGAACAGATATCAACTAACTTGGGTTAGGTGTGTAAACTGTCAAATGTAAAAAATACATGAATTGGAAATTAGACACAGGCCACCCGAAAGTAAATTGCAATAAAATACACACCTACTTAGGGATGAGACCAAAATCGATGAATTGAAAATCACAAGGATCGGAAAAATATTTGTTCGTGATACCAACTATAAGTGTTTTTTTAAGAGTTTGAGGTATTGTAACAGTGTTTTTACTATACATATTATTAGTAAAAGTTATTTAACCACTGTATGTTTCCTAAAACATCTCCAAGAGTCTCTTAAGCTTATTTTCTAAATCATCGTTTGGAGAACTATTTGAATAAAAATCGCGCTCTTTATCTTCTCCAACAGATTCTCTATATCTTGTGTTCACCGTAGAGAGCCAACCTCGCTCTCCATCTTCGGCTAATAAGAAATCTGAAATATAGAGGATGTCTATATTTGAAGGTCTAATTAAGTAAAATATTGAAGAGTATTTTTTCACCAAAAACTTTATTCCTATAAATTTGGAAGGATATAAAGAGGCTCTTAGATTTGCTCGTAGGAGACTTTTTGTACACAAAATTTGAGCTCTATTTTGGTTGTTACTCACCACCCATATTATTTTATTCCAATTAGCTATCATTCTAGTGTTCTTCTAAGTCAAATATTTCTAATTTGATCATTAACTCCTATAAATTCTTATAGTTTAACATTTAACAATGTGTGAATTGTATATTTTCACATGGTGAATCTAAAAACATAAAATTTATGATGTCAAACTATAAATTTCTAAAAATTGATGATCAAAGATAGAAATGTTTGAGTTTTGAAAAGGCTAAAATGTCAACTAATATGAAACACAAGGAGTACATATACTCCCTCCGTCCCTAAATAACTATGGCATAGAAATCTTGTCAAACTTATGGCATAGAAATAAAAAACGATAGTTATTTAGGGTCGGAGGGAGTATGTCTCTGTCTGTATGAAGAGTCTAGTCTCTACGTCTTCAAGTGGTACCCTATGGGTCAACACTCTAGTTTATTTTCGTTCTGTATTTTTGCTTTGAATGAAATCCAGATAAATGATTGGATGAGTTTTGTGTCGACCCGATGACCTAGAGAATTAGGTAAAACTTACATACTTAGTCACCTTTTTGTTTTTTAAGAAACAATACCCCTATTTACTGGTAATTTATAACTCAAGAATGGAGAAAAAAAATATAGAAATGAAAAATCATAGAAATGAATGTTACAAAAAAGTGACCACTGCATTGGTAAGTACTATTCCTATGTTTTCCTATGCATCTAAGATACACTCCAACAACTTATAATTCTATCTAGATATTTATGATGTATCTAAAAAAACTACAACTTATAATTTAGAACTAATGAGGTACTTCTGATGTGAGAATATTCACCCTGTTTTTTAACACTATTTTAACAGTATTTTTCAGTGAAGGAACATTATTTTTCTCTCACAACAAATCAACATCAGTAGCAGCAGCTGAACAAACCGACACAGTGCCAATTTCTATTAATTAAGAAGACGAAAGCAAAATTATCATTTCATAAAGTTTGAATCCATGCATGTTAGGATTTCTTTAGACCTCCAAAGCAGTAAGCCACAAGGGCATTACAATCATATTCTTCCGAAGTTTCAAAATTTAAATAATTTGTGGAGGGGGTCTCCCATATCTTCCCTTCATTTGAAAGCAACCCCAACCATGAACTGCAGGCATTAATTCGGTACGCATTATTGTACTAGCAGTGAAATTAATTGAAGAATTGAAACTTGAAAAATTTTTCCGAGCTGATCAGCAGCTGACGAGAGAAATTATCAAAGGCTGCTAGGCGATGAATCGAGTGAAGGAAGAGTCGACGTGTAGGCCCAAACAATAAAAGACCAGCAGCAAGGTCAAAGGCGCGGAACATTTCGTGGTCCGTGCTCGCGCCTCGCGGTGGCCGCCCCGCGCCGTCCGGCAACCATGTACGACCCGCCGGTGGACCTCCGCTGTCCGCTCCGATTCCGCGCGGCCAACGGTGACCTCGCTATTAATTTCGCAGCGCAGCCGCCATATTTTTTCTCTTCCACACCAACCAGAGCTCTGCTCTAGATCAACCACCACCTGCGTCAAACCACTCCGGCCTCTCCCTGCGTAAACAGTCGTACAAAGACCGGCACCCACTTGCTGGCCGTGAACCTTGCGCCTCATCTCTCTTCTTCTTCCTCTCTCCTCTTCCTATCCTGTATAAAAGCTTCTTCGCCCCGCCACATTCTGCTCCAGAACCTTCCCCATTTGGACCACAGGCTTGAATCTCTCTTCCCCTTCGAGCCTTCTAGCTTCCTGCGTAGATAGGTGTGCAGGTAAACGTATCCACACACGCAAGGTGTGGTGCGTGCAGAACAGGCAGCGTCAAGAATATAACAACAATCCATGGAGCGGTCGCCGGCGCCGGCTCCGGTGGAGGTGCCCAAGTTCTTCGTGTGCCCGATCTCGCTGGAGGTCATGCGGGACCCCGTCACGCTGTCGTCGGGGATCACCTACGACCGCGACAGCATCGAGCGCTGGGTGTTCACCGACGGGCACGGCGACTGCCCCGTCACCAAGCTGCCGCTGGGCGCCTACGACCTGGAGCCCACGCCCAACCACACGCTCCGGCGGCTCATCCAGTCCTGGTGCGCTGCGCACGCCGTCGAGCGGTTCCCGACCCCGCGCCCGCCGGTCGACGCCGACCGCGTCGCCGCGATCGTGGACGGCGCCAAGAAGAAGGGTGGTGGTGGCCAGCAGCAGGAACTGATGGCTGCGCTCAGGGAGCTCGCGGACATCATCGGCGAGAGCGACCGCAACCGGCGCTGCGTCGAGGGCGTGCCGGAAGCCGTGGAGTTCCTCGTGTCCATCGTCAAGAAACACGCCGCAAGCACGTCGTCGTCCAAGCCTCTCGTCGGATGCGGATCCCAATCCCAAGAGGTATCGACGTGCAGCGGCGTGCCGGACTCGCCCAAGGCGTGCTCGCCAGAGGAGGCGGCTCTGAGCATCTTGCATTCTCTCAAGCTCTCCGAGGCGAGCCTGAAGAGAGCCCTGGAGAGCAGCGACGACTTCGTGGACGCCTTGGCGTCCGTGCTGCGCTGCTGGCCGAGCTACCGGGCGGGCACGTACGCGATGCACCTGCTGAAGGCGTCGCTGTCGGCTATGCAGCCCTCGCGGCTGAGCTCGGCGAGCGCCGAGCTGGTCGAGGGCGTGGTGAGGGTGGTGGCGGACAGGACGCTGTCGCCCAAGGCCATCAAGGTGGCGCTCCACGTGGTCTGCCAGCTCTGCCCGTGGGGCCGGAACCGCATCAAGGCGGTCGAGGCCGGCGCCGTGGCGGCGCTCGTGGAGCTGCTCCTCAGCGACGGGTGCGGTGGAAGCAGCAACGGCGGCAAGCGGGCGGGGGAATTCGCGGCGGTTGCCATCGACCATCTGTGCGGCTGCGCGGAAGGGCGGTTGGAGCTCGTGGCCCACCCGGCAGGGCTAGCAGTTGTTGCGCGAGCCGCGACGCGGCTGTCCCCCACGGCCACCGAGAGCGCGGTGCGCGCGCTGCACGCGGTGGCCAGGCACTCCGCGACTCCCGCGGTGCTGCAGGAGATGCTTGCCGTCGGAGTTGTCGCGAGGCTGCTGTACCTGGTGCAGGCCGGCGCCGCCGGCGAGCGGCCAAGGGAGAGGGCGAGGGAGATGCTCAAGATGCACGCCAGGGTTTGGAGGGGCTCGCCGTGCTTGGCGTCGCACCTGGCATCCTACCCTTGTTGATATCGCATGCCGGCATGCCGCAGCCGACCAAGATCGATCATCATTTGGTGACTATTCTCGCGTCTGTTTGTTCGTCGTCTCATATCGTATCATACGTAGAGACTCGGCAGAACCTTTTGCTTTGCTCATTTTTGCGTGTAAAGATTGTATTCTTAGACCGGGAGGTTTGATACGTAATTAAGTCCCCCCAAATGGGGTTTGGATAAAGAGATACGTTAGTGTAAATGTACATTTTGTAAGAACAATCAACATTATTTCGCCTGTTGATCGTTTTTTTTTCCTGAATGCATTATCAAGTAATCATTTCCCATAATGATTTGATAAATATTAATAGCATGCATATTCATGTCATGTTTAGTATATACGTTGGCTTACGAATTAACAAATCAATTAATATGTGAGAAGAGATCTGGCATATACATTAAGGGGGTGTTTGGTTGCTCCTCCTAAACTTTAGTTGCTGTCCCATCGGATGTTTAAACACATGTATAGAGTATTAAATATAAACTAATTACATAGTTTGCGACTAATTTGCGAGACGAATCTTTTAAACCTAATTAGTCCATGATTTGACAATGTGGTGCTATAATAAACATATGCTAATGACGGATTAATTAGGCTTATTAAATTCGTCTCGTGAAGTACCGACGGATTCTGTAATTTATTTTTTTATTAGTATCCGAACACCCCATGCGACACCCTCACGTGACACCTTCTAAATTTTAGTCACCGGATCCAAACACCCCTTAATTTGGCAGCATGACAGTTTGGCAGAATAAGGTTGTTGAACTTCGATCTATATATATAAGACCATTGATAAGCATTTTCATTTCCCCTTTTTCTGCTATTATATTTGTAAATCTATGGAGTACGTGATCATATATATATATATATATATATATATATATATATCAATAATCTATATATGAATGATCTATATAAGAATAGTGCTGTCAAATCTTTGATTAAATCCAAGAAAATGCGAGAAATCACGTCAAATTGAAGATTTGAACTCAGTAAGTGGGCAGCTTCCACCGAGCCTAACCAAATAAGCTATTAATATTTGTATCTAAAATAAGCTATTAAGAAACATGGCTTCACATGCGTACTACAACAAAAAGATTTTTAAAGTGTGCCTTTTTTTTAAAGACAACTCTATTAAGATATGTCTCTAAAAATAGTTTATGAGATAGCTCGTCTATAGAAACTAATTTCTAGAGGTAGTCGGTGTTTCCCGCCTCCTCTAGAAATGCTCTCTATTTTTTAGAGGTAGACTCTAGCTCGAAACTTCAAATGACTTTAGAAATGTGATTTCTAGATGTGGTTGGAATGTGACCTGCCCTTAAAAATAGGTGCAGTTAGAAAAACACATAACTTTTTGAAATCAATGCAAGTCGGATGAAAACAAACTTTATACCAAAATTTTAGAGCTTGAAGAGATGACTCTGTAATTGATAACATTTTCATTATAAGTTAATTTGGGTCTCAAACTTATGTTTTAAGTTTTTGTTTTGTTTTGAATTTCATTTTTTATTTTTTGAGATGATCTCGGATGGAGAAACTCCCTAAATTAAAGTTATAATGCTTGATAAGATCTTTATAGATCAACCTTTTCTCATTTAAAAATAATTTTGGAGCCAAAATATTCAATACAAAAATTATAAAAGTTAATAGAAAAGAATAGCATCCTACATTTAATCATAAGTGATATTGTAGTGCGGTGGTAGCGGGCTCACATGAGACTTGAGGTAGACGCACATGCATTTATTTTGCGTGAATAAACCAGTGACTTCTGAGTTGCGAGGTTATAGGTGGGCATCTCCTAGTATTATTATTTTTTGCTATTTTTTGTGTCTGATTTATATTTTTTTTGGAGAATGAGTTATTAGAGGTGGTTGGTGTTTCTGGCCGTCTCTAGAAAACTTTGATTTTTAGAGACTCATGACTAGAGGTGATTTTTCCAGCTAGCTCTAGAAATTGATTTTGACTTACTCTAAAAACAACTTCTTTATGATAACTTAATTGACTGAACATGGCAACACTACCAACACATTACCATAAGATCCATAAAATGTCAAAAGTACAAGAGTGGATGAACATACAGCAAGCCAACCACTAATCCACTACAGACGACACAGGTGTGGTGTCATATCGACTATGGTGTATTATTGGACTTCCTAAAATAAAATATCATGTGTAGGGTAAAAATTTAATGTGCTTGTAGAAAACAGGAAAACTAAAATGATCGAAAAAACCAACCATATTATTTTCATTCAGTTTTCATAATTTCCAGAAATAAAAACACAATAAAACGACCAGAATACCGTAAACACGAATCCACAAACAGATTAAATATAGGAATCGGGATGGGACAAAATAAGATTTATCACGACCATTTTTCACCATAATTGTTGCTTTGTCTTTGTGTTGAGGTGGAGAGTTGAACGGTATGCGGAATACATATCTTTTTTTTTTATAAAAAAACGCATTAGAGAAATTTACTTGTTTATTTTACAGAAATGGAAACCCGAACAAATGGAGTTTGTCACGATAAGGTTCACAAATAGAGAAAAGAGGGAAGTTTGCGGCAATAGAAATCCATCCAATTGAGGAAGACACAAAACTATGCAATTATAGTAACAAAGCACAAAAGACCACGGTGAATTATCGATTTCGTGGACCATCCAATCCAAGAGTTGAAAATTCTAAAGTCTCAAAAGTCATGCCTTTTCCCCTTGGCTGTCCTTTCCCTCTCTTCCATGTCTGATTGAGACGGGGATGTCAAAACTAAAGCCACAGACACACTGACACTGTGCAGCACGAGCTGCGCACTATACTAATCGATCGGTGGCCACCGTCTCAACGTGCAACACATGGATTCGAGCTCACGTTTTGTTCCGCAGCTGTTTGAACAGTACAGACAGCCGAACATCGAATCAGTCAGGTGGATGAAGTAGCTGTTGCCCCACGTGTAGTAGCCGGGTTAGGTTAGGTGGCTGCGCGCCTGCAGCGCGAACAAGTGGCGGGGAACGGCGTCGAGCTAGTAGCGTGGAAACGCTTCTGACGTCTGACCCAGCCTGGCCCTGGACCTGGAGTCACCACCGGTGCCCGATCCATCATCGAGTGCCTGTTTGCTTGCATTGCCGCGCATCATACTAGCTACTGCACCTCGACAAAAATATAATGGCCGCTCAATCATAAATACCTCGTGCAAAATTTTGGTAGGGGCCACCGGTGTGCATGCATGCAGACAAATGCTGAGAGCCTGAGAGGTTCCATATATAGACGGCTGATGTCCACACGCACTCAGATGGAGTTGACGTAGTACCGAGCACCTGCTTCCTGTAAAGCACCATTTGATTTGGGACCGGATGGCGGCCTTATTGTTCCGAAAAGGAGCAAGGAATTATTCCAGGTTATCAACGTTATACAAATCAGTGAAGCATTCCAACCGGGAATAGTTCCAGACCTTCGTTCCGGAGTAACCGAACAAGCCATTACGGGGAACGAGTACTAAACAATACGGAGTATTATCTAACGTTTGTTTTTTTTAGAAGAAACGATATTATCTAGCTATAATCTAGTTACTTTTCTCGTCTTGCTAGAATTTTGCTTTGTGAGGTCCATTATTGTGGGCTGGTTTCGGTTTGGACAACATGTGTGGTTGTTTCCTGTTTGGCTTCTTGCTTCCTTTTCTGGCTTTTGATTTTCTTATTGGCCCAACTTATCATTTGGGCTATCGGCTGACCTTTTTGGGAAAGACGGCTGTAGCCCAGTCTGTTTTTCGTGTGCCGTGACTTTGTAGGTTTTCTGGATTTTTGTTGCGCTGTTTCTTTTTTGTTATACCTTCTTTTTATTTTATTTTTCTTATTTTAGATAATTGTACTCACTCTCTCTCTTCTTCTAATTATACTTTAGATCATTTTTTTTAACTTCGATCAGTTTCTAGAGAAATATATTATCATCTGCTTGCTTAACTAAATGTACTATCAAGATATATTTCAATGAAAACTTAATGAAAATAATTTGATTTTTTATACAATGCTATGATTATAAAGAGTCCATACCTAGAGCCTACAACTGCATGTAAGTGTGTTCCTAACTCATACTTCTTTTGGTCAAGCTTAGAACTAATTTGAAAGGGTGCATTATAAATGCAATATCATTACATCCTCGTTGATATCCAACTGTACGAGAGCAAGACCATACTATTAGGGTGTCCCAGTGGTTTCCAAATAGGTAGTCTAGGAAGAATTTTATTGGCTATCAAGGAGAGAGAACAAAAAGCTAGCGACTGTCAAATAGCTAGTCTAGCACAATTTCCAAACAACTCTCTCACAGCTCACATAACTCCCCATTGCAGTATTTTTTTTTTATTATTTCTAAGCCCCATCTAGCTAGCTATTTGTAAACTGCCATTGAGGAGGCCATTAGACTCGAAAAGGAGAAAACATAAACATATCAACCCCTCATAGATGTGCTACATTAACATATCCAAAACGTACTCAGATGGGGTTCACACACGGAGCACGTGGCTGTATAGCGCAATTTGGAATTGATTTAGGACTGGATGGCCTTATGGCCGGAACGAGATTGCTAAACAATACTTTTATGGTTGCGACGTTGGCCACTCCATCTCCGATCCTCAGCTCATGCTCAACCTGCTAGGGGGCTCAATCCCCACTTCTTCAACACAGAGGACAATATCGCCAACATGCATCCCTTCCCCTCCTTCACGACTGCGTGCAACATGCTGGCTCTCAAGGAGTTGCGTCTTGCCAACAAGGGCAGGGTCTCCTTGGAGACGGCACTAATGACAACCTCCAGCTCCTGCAGACCTGGATCGTGAGGATGGGGATGGGAGTCGGCGTGTCTCCGAGAGACAGCGAGCGCGCAAGAGAGAGAGAGTTGCTGGGCTATGTTTGGTTTATTGGGCATGAACGAGAGGTACTATAACATTTTTGGGCTAAATTTTGCGGTAATCCTGGGTCTACCTGAAC